TTTTCATGATTGTATAAAATGTTTTTTTCAGTGATCAGATGAGCACCTTATGTAACATGTTGATTTTATATCAAGCGTTGACAAAAAAAAGGAGTAGTATATAGGCCCTATATAAACTTTATTTCATCTCGAAAATAAAAGCACAAAAAGTACAAATAAACTTGTTGGATTAAAATAATTGTTCTTCCACAAGATCGAGAAAAATTACATATAAAACATTTAAAATATCAAAGCATTAAAAAATTCAAATTACAAAACAGTAAAATACACTACATTAGGTTGAAAATCATTTACTATTTACTAATAAATCATTTATTGTTATTAAATTATAATTATATTATTATTGTAATTGTAATAATTATTATATTTAATGTTTTATTATTATTATTATTTTATTATTATTATTATTAAATTATCAGTTTATTATATATTTAATCATTTGTATAATGTTATTTTGGAAACTGCGATATTTCATTTTTGTCAAAATTGTAAGCATTCCAATATGTTGCACCTCGATATGAAATGCTACGTTTTTTAAAACTTGTGTTTGGTTTAGGAATAAATAAATTTGTTGCACTATGCCGGAAATTGTAATTAAAAGTATTTGTTTTGAATATATTATTTTGTAAATAAGTGGTCCAATAATTGATTCTTGTGGCACTCCACATATAATTTGAGTAGTATCTGATTTAGTATTATTTGCGATGGTCAATTGAGTCCTTTCAGATAGGTAGCTTTCAAACCATTTTATTGAATACTGTACTCACTAAGGCCATAAAGTTTAAGTTTACATAGTAATATTTTGTGATCAACAGTATCAAACGCCCTTTTAAAATCAAGTAGCGATAAACCGACAATTTTTCCATCATCCACGGAACTATACCATTTTTCTGTTGTTTAATAGGGCCGTAGATGTGGAAAAGGATGGTTGAAAACCCGACTGATTTTCAAACATTAGGTTATGAGAAACTAGATATGAGTAGAGTTGATCGAAAAAAATTATTATTATTATTATTATTATTATTATTTGTGCTTATTTTAGAGGATTTTTGATATCATGCTTCATAATTATAATTGCCATATTTATAGTGATCATGGTAACTATTTACATTATGAATAGGCCTATTTGTACAGTAATTGGCCTTATGGCCCATTAAACCACATGATATACATTATACACTTTGGCTATAGAAGCAGTCTTTTGATTGATGGTTGCTTAATCCACACTTCCAATAAGCTACAATGTGGTTTCGAGTTCTTGTGAGCCTACTTGGACGAAAGGGACGTTAATTATTATGTATGTTATGATATTGTTGTCGTCTTCCTTGTTTCCACTCCTGTTCATTTTTATATTGCAGTCTTTCCTCTTTATTTCGTACGTGTTTCTGTTGTCGTCGTTGTGGAGTATCCACATTTTCTATTTAATCGCACTTGCTTAGGTCAACTATGATCCAGTCTTACTGAAGTGCATGCCATCAACAAGCATAGACAGTCATCTAAAGATCCACATTGGAACACGCACTTTGGTGTAATATGTATGAACCCACAATCTAGTCTAGTGGCAAGGTCTTCTAGCATAGAGTTTGTACGTTTGACTTCATCCATATTTGTAAGTCGTGGGGCAATAGCGGAAATATGGAGTTTTGATGTTGGCGCATTTACCATTATCATAGTAATGACCTTCTCCATCGATATATGAATAAAAATTAGATCTTCACCAATTGACATGGTAAATATCATCAACAGTTGCAACCCTCTTAACGATAAGCTCTGTATTTTTGAACAGGAATTGTTCATGTCTCTAAGCATAGAGTCCCCTATTATGAGGGTTTTATGGGGTGGGTCTGAGTTTTTGGGTCCGTCTGAATTCGGCATGCAAGGTTCTGTCAAGTGTAATCGCCTAACTCGTTGAATATCAAGTTCAAGATCGCTCACCTTACTGTTTAATTTTTTCACTTGTTTTTCAGTTCAGTTATGTTGGTTTGCAATAATTTGATATCTTCTTTCAATTGCTTTACAATGTAGTGTATGTCCTTCTTGCAAAACACACAAACCCATTTGGCACTTGGTCCACACAACTAAGGTGATAAGATTTAGTACAGTTGAAACATTTGGCGAATGCACCATTGCTTTTTTGACAATTTTCATATCCACATGTAGTTTTTGTAGCAAGTTGTTCAGTAAGCTGTTCATGTCTATACAGTCTGCGTTTGCCATTGCTCACGTAGCACACTCCCTTCAGGTGTTTCGAAATATTCGTGGGAAACATCAGGTGCGTCTGTGCAATTTTATAAAGTTTCTGAAATTTTCATGAAATATAATAATTGTTTTGAAAGGGCTCCTGAAAAATCCTAAAGATTGCAAATATTTAAAAAACTATTTTCTCTTGATTGGTTCACATAATCCCTTTAAAATATCCTTTCCTTGTTCTGGGTGTATGATGTTATGTACCGTATGGTGACTTATTGTGTACATATGGCAGAAAAAAACCGGACCTTGATGCTTGAGAGTTAAGCTTTAAGTCAGGCAAAAGGACAAATTTTGGCATACAAACGATATCGATTGGTGAAATAATTGGTCCTGCCAAAACTGGAACAGCCGAACTAATGCCGCAGCCAGGATTTCAAACATTGCGGGACAATATCAGGGTGGACCCGCACTTTACGCGTAAAAAATGTGGACCCATTTATTTAAAATTTTACCAATTTTATGCTAAATATGAGAAATCTGGACCCATTTTTCAAAAAAGTGAACCCATTTTATGCATAAAATTTCATGATTTGAACCCATTTTTATAAATGTGGACTCATTCTTTGTAGACCCATTAGAAAAATTGTGTGGGACTGTCCCAAGTCTCCCAATAGCTGGCTACGGCATTGCGCCGGAACGCTTTCTGCGGCATTGAAGCAGTATAAAAGCAGTGCATGAAGGTTTGTTGGAAGTGCACTGGAAACATAAAAGTTTGGGTGTGGCCCTCGGTGTTAAATCAAGAATGTTGTAATTTCAATTCACCGAAGCTTGAAAAAAGTAATGTTACGTTTTAATGGTATAAACGTCTTTAGTAAAACTTGTGTTGGAATGAACCGCGATAGGCCTACACTTGTGTTTCACGGACAAACCTACAATCACAGGTCATATGGTAATTCAGCATTATTCTGTCCATCTGCATTAGATTGTAAAATCCCGATGGTGCGTATTGACAATATCAATATCTTTGATTGCAATGCTAATAAATATATTAACGCCCCCAGTGATTCGTGATATGTTTTCAAGGTTGTTTCACAATTCAGCTCTAATATCGTTTCTAACAGCTAATACGTGACTGTAAAGAGGACTCTAATTATTATTTATAAAATAATAAGCTGTCGAGCAGAGTCGAACTAAGAAGGTCATAGCACACGATTATTATGAATATAACACGTAGGCCTATTACGTGTGTTGTATTAGATGTGCTGTCAGGCGCACCAGAGTTTAGACGTTCACCACAACACTTTGTCTGTTTCTATTCACCACTTCACAGTGCAAACTCTTTATAACTTAATTTACAAAAACATCTGATGAACCAAAGACTATGAACCGTTCTAATTCTTAACTTCACCTGTTATATTTATTAAATAACCTAACACTGTCCCATGTGTATTATGCATAATTAGGTCTACACTACACTCCACTAAACAATATGGCAAAACATTCTAGATTTAGGGCAACCATTGAAAAGGACACATCAAATATGATTAAAAGGTTGTTTAATTAATCTCTCATCAATTTAACTAATGAAAATGCTGGTCTTTACTGAGTAATGACCACCGGTTAAAAAAGCTGGTTTCCATAAAATCGCTACACTGTAAAAACAGCGTGGATGATTTAAACACAAAGCTCCACGCAATGTTGTTCGTTTTTAAGTTTAAAAGCTAAACGTGTTAGATATATCTTAATGTGCTTGGGATCTTTACGTGTTTAGCATTAAATGTGGTTAGGTATTTAACATCATGATGTCAAATACCTAAGCACATTTAATGCTAAACACGTCAGAAACCTAAACACATTAGGCCTGGCCTAAACACGTTTATCTTTTAAATGTGTCACCAAAAACGGGATAACTTTGCGTGGAGCTTTGTGTTTAAGTTCCAGGCTGTTTTTACAGTGTACAGTATTTCCATTGCAATGGTTGCACCATGTATTGCTAAATGCAACCAAGAAGGCTCCAGGCCGATTCCACCGAACAATCAGCGTCACCGAACGCTGTCGACGAGAGCGTGTATTTTGTGGAAAAATCTACAGTTATTGCAGGGCCTACGACAGGTTTACAATTCTGTACAATGGTGGGTGGTAGCGTATTGCAAATTGAAGGGATAGACAGAAGATTTGGGGATCCCAGAGATGACCGTATAAAGGACATTGGCGAAATAGAAAGCGAGAGATTTGAAAACACATGTTGAGAGCCCAAATTTTAAGTACCAACCAGCCAACCTAGACGGAATAATGTGGTTCCTTGCTTTACAGACGTTACTTTTACAAACTTAAGAGTTTACCAGTAGGAATTTCGACGCATTCACTTTAATCGCTAACTATGTTAGTTCGACAAGTTCGAAGCAATTAAACGCTATAGTGCGAATATATTTCTCGCAATCTAATGTAACAGTAACTCTGCTTTCAACGGTCGAATGAACAAAACATCAGTAATTACAGCATTAAGGACATGAACCTAATCAGGATATGAATATTAAATGCATTTTCTTTGTCATATGCGATATTTGTGACACAAATTCCAATTTATTTGTGAATGAACTATCGATATAATTGGTCTATCGATATATTTGGTAGAGCGGAACTTAGGCCTATAAATAAAGTAAACAGTGTCAAGAATTGTAGACGAATATAGGTCAAGCAAATTGTGAAAATTATTATCATCATTTGGCGAAATACTGACTTTGCAGTCAATTGGTCGGATAAACTCATTTTCCCTCTAAAAGTTGTATATTTCGTACCGTACTACTTACCTGACCACTAAAGCAATAACTACCGCAAAGATGAGCAATAGGGAACACATAGTAGAGAGAGCGATTTCCAAAGGTCTGATGCCTGGGTCCTCTACAAAAACAATAATAATATCAAATCATTAGCAATCAAGAATACAACATGTCTCCCTTGCATTCCTCTGCGAGTTGCTTCATATTTTGAATAAGCCATGTTAATCTGCCATCCAAAGACTCAATCCGTCGTGGCCGAACAAGCTTCCAAAACTACATTTTCTATCGTGTCTAGTATTGATATTGATATTTGCTTAAATGTCTTTGGTGTAAAAGTCATGGGTTCAGGATTATCACTAATTCTAAATAATTTTATTCTTTCTGTCCCAAATAGACCGTCCCCAAGCACTGACATTTAATACAAAATTTGCCACTATTCACTCGATGAATATAATTTGACGCTTTCAATATATATTGTCCATGCACATTACCAAAACAATCATAACAAATCATTTTTGAAATTAACTTGCCCATTTTCAATAAAAATTTTCTATATTTCATTCTAGAATCATGGGGTTTGAGGACGGGACGGGCACACAAACCACCAAGCTAGAGCTTTACATCATACTACGCTTATATTTTGAATTCAAAACTATCCACCTGAAAATAATAATAATAATACCATAGGCCAGTATGCTGTGCAACTTCACTTACCTGTGGGAATTGGACAGCCTTCAAATCCACACACTGGAATGTCAGGGGGTGCTTTTCCACCCGGCCAATTTATCTTACCGACTTCCTCATACTCTTTCGACGCACCATAGTAGTTCCCGACAACCTAGAATCAAAGCATTATAGCGACAATGATGAAAGATACTATATGTATGATGACATACTTAATATACTGACTAAACCTATATTGTTATTCTTGGTGGTGACGACACGGACGACGACGATCAAGGTGGTGATTATAATGACAATGGTAATGATGATGGTGAGAATGATGATGATTAAAATGATGTTATTCTTAGTAATATTCTAAGAAATAGCGCTGAAAAAGCTCTAGATAACTTTATCGTTCTTTCGGAAATGTACACGGATTTAAACTATTAGGGAGGTTTCGCAAGCTTAAGAAAATGATAACCAATACGGCTACGTCACCAAATGTTTAGTCAACCCATCCCCTGCAGAAGCATATGTCACAACGCAGGCCATGTCTATGCTTTTTACACGAATCATATTCAGCTCTTATATGGATGTTTTAGGCACAAAAATGATGATAATGAATATGACGCATTCTAATTCGTTATCATTTTCGGAAGGTTCGAAAACTATTGCTCATGGGGTTACTCCAGATAGAAATGGAGACATCAATACGATCGAAATGGCAATTATTGATGGTAGTGGATATTGATGTGTAATAGTGTAAATGATTCTAGAAAATGTTGATGATGGTGATATATGCAGTTAGAGGGGGAATTATTGATAGGCTTTTATAAGGGCGTAGATGGAGTGTCGTGATGCCAAAAAATATTGTTATATTCGATGATGAATATGATGATGATGAACGATCATGAAAATAAGGAAGACAACAACGTGGGAATAATGATGATCATGATGACGACAATAACGGTGATGACTGATAGCTTTGTTGAAGTATGTTCAGAGTTAACTTGATTTCTTAAAAGAATTACGCAAATTTGCAATAATGCACCTGGCGTTATTGTAGACTACATATAAACTAGGACATCAGTAGGATCGAAATGGAAATTGTCTATGTAGTGGATGTTATTGAATAATGGTGTTGTTGATGATTCCAGAAAATTTAGGAGATTGTGGCAAATGCGATAGGGATTATTGATAAGCCTATAAGAATTGTATATTTAGTGTCGTAAATGTTAAACATTAATGTTATGGTGCCAATGATCATGACGATGAATATAGGTAAATGTTCATCATGATGACGATAGTGATGATGACCAAGATGATAATAACAATGACATCAAAATGTGGTATACCCTGTGCAAATGACATTTAATAGAGTGATCTGGAATGTTGATAATCGGAATGTGTTTGATGTTAATTACTTAATTGAAACAGTGATTACAGCGGGCATAGTGCATAACATTCGAAAACTATCAACTTTAGGCATCATCGATCGATCAATCAAAATACAGTGAGTGTTAATAATAGCTCGACATTCACTCAACAATAAATAATTACATAATTACGTTGTACCTCCACGGGATGGCAATAACAAGACTGTTAAGATACCACACCTAAGCAAAAATATCCAATTGAGAAGGGTACAAAAGAAAGGTCAAATGAGCATCGTAGTCCAATCGAGCATCGTAGCTTAACACACCAATGATCATAAACTCATTTAATCATAACATGGTAAAATAATCGAGTGTCCATGTGCTCAACAGTCATGCCTATTAACTGAGATAATATTATTACCGTATTTGTATTTATTAATCAAGACTAGTTGGTAATGATTTATTTATTCAATCACAAATATATCGGAGTTGTTAATAGACCTATCTGAATGTTCACCAGCAAAATAGTATTAAACATTATTTAATATAGAATTAGAAATATGGCGCCACAGGCCAACAGATTACTTGACATGCTATAATGTTCGTACGGCTTTCATTATACAATAAAATGCTTCGATGTGAATTGGTTTTGAGTAGTTATTATCCCTCGGGTTGTATATGAAGTTATCAAATTTACTACGGTGTCTTTTTCCAGTCCCTTCGGCATGCAATAAACGCGAAAAGAATATACGCATTCATTGTATTTAATATACTTTTCCTTTTGATGACCTGTATGCAGAAGTCAAGTGTCGCATTACATTTCAAAAAGGATCTTCTCTATTAAACAATGTATTTAGTCTAATTCTATCAATATAGGGGTCCGATAAAGTCATGATGTAACATAATATGGGATACACCATTCGCGTTTATGCATTTCGCTTAGGCTTGAATTGTACTTTTTATTTAAATACTTGTTTGTGTACTATCTGGTAATATGTTATATGTTATAATACACAATAATGATATACAGTACCTGTACCTCATGGAAAATAAAACCTATCGTAATCACAAAAAAAAAAAAAAAAACAAAAACAAAACAAAACAAAACAAAAACAAAAAACAAAAGAAAAAAAACCTCAAAAAACAAACGTATTCTAATTTGTAATGTATCGCGTTTACATGTTTGTGTCCAGAATGTATACGTAAATACGGTATGCAACGCGTTATTATATTTTCGTGTACACGAATGCAAAAACATTAAATACCACAACATCATAGGTTTTACACTCCTAAGCGGAGAGAATGTGTCTTGCCCAAAGACACAAACGAAATGCACAGGGAAGGATTTTGACCCACGACCTCATGGTTAAAAGCGCGACCTGCAACCACTGGTCCAAACGCTCCCACATAAAAAGTGGATTACGTTACATCACCTACGACGTGGAAAGTCTGGATTCCATAAAATCGCTACACACTACCTCTAACAGCTTTCGGTGACTCTGATTGGTCAAATCTGGGAGCCTTTCCGACTGTGTCCATCAGGGACATTACGGAGTATAACGATTGAAATTGGAAACACTTATAGCGAAAATGTAGCGATGTTATGAAAAATTATTAAGACGTTAGAAGTATCCACACTGAAACATAATTATGAAATGGTACCGTATATGGGTTAATAAACGAAGCCTGTTCAATGTTGGCATACATACTACTGCAAAAATTAGATTTCTCTTCAAACTAATAAATCACAATGCTCAACACGTAAAAGGTGAGTAAACAAAACACATTCAATGTTAGAATGCTACGCTATTGTAGAAACGGAAATCATTTTCTTAAAATTATTGAGAGTCATTATTGTCCAACACATACTGTAAATGGATTAATAAACGAAGCCTGTTCAGTGTTGACATATTACTGTAGAATTGAGAATTCTTTCTTCCACATTACTGAACTTTATCTTAACGATAAAGGAAAGTAATGTTGGCAAAAAAGAATTCTTCCCTACAAATTAATGAAAACTTAATATTCTCCAAACACAATGAATAGTTTGTGCAATGGCGCCCTCTGCCTTCAAGACTGCTGCAACTTTTAATGTCATAATTTCTGATGATTTATTTAGGGTTTCAATACAAACAATTCTTAAATTTGCTGCAAGGTGTATGAGGTGGAGATATTTTTGTACTATGATGACTGATTGAAGTATATATGCAGAGTAAGTAATTCAAGATATTTCTAACATTTCCAAGTTTAGATTGAATTTACGTAGCAGTATATTTTTAACATTTTCACATTCAAATAATCGAGAATTAAGCCGAGCACTCTCTGCGCCCGATGATCGTCGGCCGACGCAATGGACGTTTCCGCTAAGGTCCGCCCCTTGGATATTGTTGCTAAGGTCCCACAAGACGACAGTGTTAAAACACACGCGAACACGTGCGTTTGTGGGACAACACGTGTGTTTGTAAGACGCGCGCGCATTCCTAGCGCTGTTCTGATTGGTCAGTTGTTAAATTTGATTGACACTCCGGAAAGGAACGGAACGCCACGACGCGCGCGAAAGGATCGTTTTTAATAACGCGTCGTCGAGAGCTCACCGGGAGCGGACCTGGATTCGTCGGCGACAGTCGTACGATCGCCGTTAGCCACAACACTGTATTTTGTAATGGACCTTTACTAAAAATATTTGATCGACTGATTGAAAATTAATTGTATAACATTTACTTCGATCATAATATAGGCCTATACACATTCACAGCCAAGAGTGTTGAATTCTACATCCTATTTTGTATCGCTAATTGGGGCGTGGAAATATGACATTGTTACAGCAGCCAGGTTAACAATAAGTGGCCGATGGCTTAATCTAGACAGAGAGCGAACAGCGGACAAAACCTGCTCGTTCCAAAGGGATTACATTATGAGGAATGTTTTTTATATGAGTATTCCATTTGGCAATAACGAATAAAATTATTTAAAATGATAATAACAATGATAAAGCTTATAAGTAATAGGCCTACTGTAAATGTTGAGAATAATAATGTTGATCATCATGGTTATGGAAACAACAACAATACTAATACCAACATCAATAACAACAATACTAAAAATATTATACATAACATTAGGGAGATTTCGAAAACGAGAACGAATACGTCACTATCACTATCGTCATTCGTGCCTCAAACATTCTTGACAATATACTGTACCAACTGAATATGATCCTGATTCATGCAATGTGACAGATATGCTACAGTAGGAGGAGAAGTGTTGTCTAAAATTTGATGACGTAACCGTAATCGTTATCGTTTTCGTAAGCTGCAACAGCAGCAGCATTAACAGCAACAACAATGGCAATGGGGCAACAACAACAACAACAATAACAATAACAATAATAATAATAATAATAATTATAATTGAGTGAAATGTTGTTTAAAGGTGAAGTAACAATATATTAATAATTGTGAGAACATGTAGGCATACCTCAAATGTGCCAGTCTCTTCATCAGTCATGTCCAGGAGCGAGTAATCTGCTTCCCTATCACCATTTGCGTCAATGCTCACAACTCCAGCGATTCCTGCAAGGGAAAATATGAAGACAATTAATAAAAAGTTGTATAGCATATAAAACTAAAAGTTGTCATTAAATGAATATCCGAAATCAGGCGAATGTAATATTGTACGGTAACTTAGGGACAGAAAGTTTTTACTGGTTAGTTTCTTTAAAGTGGATGTTCTTAAAGTGAATATAACTTGCACGTAATGGTTCATGTGACGTCAAAGTACGCTCTGCCAATCCCAGCCAATCAAGTGGTTCAAAGCTGTGGATATTTATATCTTCGACTGGGATAGTATAATGAATGTCGGCTCTCAAATGACCAGACGTTACATTGCAGGCTAAAAGAGCAACTTTTAGACAACATTGTCATTGTCGTGATGATTATCCGGAACAGGTGCAGATAAATGAGACGAATTAGTGTTTCTGAATATATTAGCATATTCTAACGCTGAATTTTCATTGCCTGCATAACACTTTACAATCACGTTGATTTATTATATTCACCCGACACAAATGTAAAGTTCTTATTAAATCAAACGTCCATACATATCGACCTAAAATACCATAATCTGTTGACGTATATTGTTGAATAATACTTATAGACACAATACATGGAAGACAGACATAGGCTATGCATGGCGTGAACAACAACCAGATCATGAAAAATATCGTTATTTTATTAGATTCAAAAACCAATAAATACGAAGATCACTGGATTTTGTTTCAGTTCAACAGTAACAATATAACAACTGAACTTGGTATATTTGTAAACAGCATAATTGACAAACGCAAATTGAGTAAAAGTTCAATTACCATTTTTTTAATAGGCCTATTTAAAAAAAAACTATATACTGTAGATCGACGTCAAATTTACTAAAAAATACAGTACAGTGAAAACTATCCAAGCACAGAAAATGACAAAAGTGGAAGGTAAAAATTACTTTAGAACCTCATACTCCCGCATAAAACTGTGATGCAACCGAATAAAATAAACAATAAGAGAGCGCGTTCGATCTAATTGGTTCATATATTTTAGTTATTTTTTCAGAAAATAATAATTGGTTAAGTATTACAATCATTAAGTTGCATTGCATCCATATGTGTAGAAAGCTCAATTTCGGTAAAATAAGAACCAACCTCAAAATAGGCCTAGACTAATGCATGGCACTCACTCATGTCGCCACTACGCGCGCAACGGACGAATTTAATGACGAACTTTGCAGACAGCCACCAGCAATCAACAGACGTCGCGTCGTCAGCGCTCACATAGGGAGCGGAGTTGGATTCGTCGTACGACGGAGTGAGTGTCCGGCTTAACATCAAGCAAGCAGTAATAGTGTGATAAAACTAGTCTCTGACTGGCAAGTTCTCCCCAAACCCGACACAATACTGCAGATAGCACACATTTTATGCCTACGTTTTAAACATAACTCAATCAAAGTATAAATCAATTTATATTCTTGTTCAATTTATGATTTAAGAGAAATTTATTATCGTTCAGTACACGATATGCATCACGAGTAATGTTTACACGTTCACAGTTCTGTAATGCGTGTCGCGAACAAGACACTGCCGGGAAAATAGTTTTACATACTGAGCTGCACAGTGGCTCCTCTTCTTCGAATACTCTCGAAAGAGTTGCTGCTTGAGTTATTATTCATTGCGAACTGGTACATCCTTAGGGCTACTATTCAAAATAGATAAGATGAAATGGAATATTGAACTACAAGCTGATATTCTATAGGAATCAACACGGCACATCTTACTAATTTGCTTGTTTACAAAAACTGGAATAAATAACCGCAGCTTGTTACTTAATATTTATTTTTTCTTTCGTGTTTGGTCTCTTATATCATACCCAAAGCTACTAAAATCTGAAATTCAGAGCCAAACACACGACAGTCCTGCGACCAAATGTATAGTTTACCCGTTTGCTTGTTCACTACACAGTCACAAATTCACACTCAGTGAGCGAACCCATCACAAATTTAAAAAAAGATGATCAACATTTCTGGGCGTTAGTTTTCTTAAAAAGAGGTCAATGAAAATAAAAATACAACTAGCCTACTGTACAGGGCTGATTTTTATTTATTTTATTTTTTTATTTTTTTTTAATTATTGAGTTGGACGTTTTTCTTTATCTTCGTAATGGGAATTGACAAATACATAAACATCATCAAGCCGGATATTAAGACTTATTCCAGTATCTTGATTAATCATATAATTTCTGTCTCTAATCTGTATTTCCTAATCATCAATAAATCAAACAAAACAACCAACTGCAATGTAATCGTCTAAAAGTTGGATTGCCATAAAACTAATACGCTGTAGATTTGAAACCTTCCAGATTTTTTTTTATGAGATAAATCTGTTGGATTACGAATGGTTTGCGTCATATTATTTATGTTTTACCAATCGTATTTGTTAACAAAACAATAATGTTATATGCTTTCTGGCTATTGCTGCAAAGGATTACAATTATTCATCTGCTTTCGTTTTAGTAAAACTTGTCAATGTTTTTGACTCTTTCAGCCTAATATATTTTACTTACCGAGTGTATGCCTAATTACCGTTCAATCCTTCTAAAGTCTTGTTAATCAATCTGATATCTGATCTTGAAATACTAGACTTAACTTCCAGATGACAACATATTCTAGTCATGCAGTATGTCTTTATGTCACATCCGTGTAGGAGGGATATTTGATTGAGATTGGCGGGAAAATTGTCAGATGCTCAATACAAATGTACAAGAAAACTCGTTGAAAAACACCCATTATAATACAGTCTGTACCACGTTGGACGGCACGGTCAGTACCTCTTGCATAGTCTATGTGAAGACTTACCGTACCATTAACGAATATAACATTGAATATTTTGTAAATATAATACTATTTTAGACGTGAGGGGACGTACTACGTAGACAGTTCGATATGACGTCAGGTTGAAAAAAAAAACATCACGTCAGGTTGAAAAAAAAAACATCACTTGTTTAATGTATTATGGTTGTCTTTATTGGCTGAAACCAGCAGTTCCACTGATGAAGTTCAAAATAACCACTGTATTAAACACACTACAAATCAGGACACACATCCTTTCTAATTCAATAATTCGATCTTTATTTAGATCATCATAAGGACTGATAATGATCTAAATAAAGACTTAGTTACAAAAAAGCACAACAAATTTTGAAAATGTAAAACTGACTGACTGCGTGACTCACTATCTGACGTTAACTGACTGATGGACAGGCTGACTGAATGACTGACTGACCGAATGGCTGACTAAACTGGTGGCCTGACTTCCCTGATTGACTTAGATGCAAATAATATTTGCATCTTCGATTTCATGATACCAAAAAAGTTAAATCATACAGATAGTTCTAATACTAATGACAAAGTAATCATCCGTGAAGCTTTATTTACATTTCTAACATCAATGATACATTGGCCTTTTATACCAGTTTATAAATAAACCCAAAATAAAATGAAACTATCCACAAAAAAAAAAACCAAAAAAAAACCAAAAAAACAAAAAAAATCGAATATAAACAATTATAGAAAATTAAATTGCAACACAGCATGAACGTGATTTCAAATGAAATTACTGATATGAATAATTTTGAGTAGGATACAAAAGATTAACATTGTTGAATTCGCAATTTGTTTTTTAAGAGGAGTTGTGTCCACTAATGGAAGAAAATTAAACTTTAAAATGGAAAGATCAAGTGCCAGCCACCGATTTAGTATGAAAAACAGTAATGCGAGAAGGGAAGGGATTGCTAAGGTGGATTACTCGACTGGAAATGAATAGAAACGAACAATATCAATGAGTTACGGCGGCACAGCGTTTCCTCTCAGGTTCATAGTTAATATTCCTCGCGTGGAGCATACAGATCACCGAAGCGAAGGCCGGATTTGACCAACATGAATGTCTTGCATTAAGTTAATTTGAATCAATCTAGGAGGAAGAGGGAATAGACGACATCGTTTGGTACATTCAACTTAGAGATAAAATATTAAAATCGATAGATAACCAACAGAGAGAAAAATAATGTATTGTACAGTAGGCTTAATGGGATCCACTTAATTATTCCACCGTCGAAATGGAAATATTTTAATACAAAAGTGTTCATATTTTAAATCATAAATAGTAGAGCAATGCCACATTTAGTAAATACTTTTGCATGATTTCTAGGTCAAACATTCTGCTGAATATCAATTTTCATTCAATAATAGCCACAGAATTGGCCGCCAAAGAAATTGTATGGGTCAATGTTTCGTATTAGGAATATAAACACTGTCGATTGATACATTCTGAAGTTGATTTTATATGAGACCTAATTCAATCATTACAGAATAAGGATTAGTGATTTTTATAAGAGACGGGGCTATCAGAATTCGGTTGCTAGACACCTTAAGGATTATAAAAATGCAAGTTAAAAATATATCCTGGGGGTGCATACGAGCCTCTTCTTTCTGCTAGGCTAATTATTATCGTATGATGACGAACGATTATGATGATGAAGTGATGATGATAATGATAATGATGATAATAATCATGATAGTATGATGATAATAATTAATAATAATATTAAATTATGATAATTTTCGTATTTTACTGCAATGTAACACTCAAAGTTGAATTTGTTATTTTTTTTTTTGTTATTTAGTCTGCAGTTTGAATTATCAGTAGTGTAATAAATAAAGAAATCAGTTAATTTTGAATATATCGTACTAGTAGTATGAAGAGTACTTGTTTTATAATAAATATTTTCATTAAAACGTTGACGTTTGTCATCACAACCGCATACATAACGAGGCAGTGTTCTCGTTTGTGGTCACTCACAAACACACGAATTTTCATTTCATTTGTCACAACGCCTGGTTATTATTTATATTTGTACACCTAAGAGACGATCTAAAGATTAAGCATGTAGAAGGAAAAAATATTCTTGTTTGATCTGAAAACGCCGCTCGATTAGTTTGTAATGTTATCCATCCATCAATGTGTATTTCAAGTTGAATGTTAATGGCTAGCATTCTCAATTGAAGAAACCCTGACAATATGGTTATCATTACTCTGTATATTTTTTACACATTGGGCTTCTAAGCCTTTGGTGCAAGTAAAATATATTATTAGAAGGATAAATGAGGCAATATTAATTATTATTATTATTATTATTATTATTATTATTATTATTATTATTATTATTATTATTATTAGGCCAATAAATATAAGTAATATCATTATTATGATTATAATTAAATCTCAATTATAATTATGGACTGGATTTATTATTATAATTGTTATTGTTATTACTGAATTGAGGGAGCGGTTAGCGCAGATGTTGCGTTTCGGTCTCTCAACCTCGAGGTCAGGGGTTCGAACCTTTGCTGTGCATTTCGCTTGTGTTCCTGAACCAGGCACTTTACCTACATTTATCTCTCTCCACCTAGGAGTATAAATGGGTACCGTACCCGGTGATTGACTACTGGGGAGGAAAAAGACCACACAATACCGAGGCTTAGTATAGTACGATGGGCTAACAGCTCATTCCCCTACTTCAACTGTTATTAACTTTAATCAACACTAACATCATATTAGTGGAATGATATTTAAATCTAACTTACCCAGCAAAATTAATTTAAAAAATATGCATACTGTATAGTTAGATTTTTCTATATTTTTTTTCCGCTTTTATTGACATGAAATGCTTTTCCCCACTGTTTTTTCCCGTAGTTACTACGGTCATTAGGCTGTATTTGTTTAGCCACAGGTTTCATTATAAAATATTCATATTATAATTAAATGTCATTTTGTTTTCCCTTTATTGACTAAAACTAGTCATGATCACATGTGGAGAAAAGCATTGATCCGACCACTGGTCTTTGAGCTGTTCTAATATAGCCCTACGTGGTACCGGTACTGAGTTAAGGCCTAGGGTTAATTAATTCGCTCTAGATAGCGCCGAATTCTCTATGACAGAGTGGGGTAGGGAGTTGGGTGAAAATTCCTGTGATACTGACCTAATAATGATAATATAAATCAATGGTGTTCTATAAAGGTGGCGCTCCTCAGAGTTTGAGTTTGTTATCCATTATATTGGTGTAATGAAACATATATAGAGCTATTTATATTGCCACTTTTGTGGGGCTGTACGTGATAGCAATTTAATGAAGGCTGTCACACTGCATGAACAAATATACAATCACTTATTAACAAGAGGTGTTATTTGATGCAATTGAACGAACATGTTATGGAAGAAAGATTGTGAGATTTTATTCATTTTTACTTTAATGGGCGAAAAAGAAAAAACAAATACTATAATTCGATGCTAAATTACAGATAGAGACGATGCAAGTGTTGAATAACATTGGTTGATTATTAAGAAGTTATTCGCTGTTTCAATGAAGCGTTAAGCTGACTTAATATTTTTGAAAATAAAATAGTTTTGAAGGCACAAAGGACATTATTTTGTTGTGAAGGACAGATATAATATATAGCATTGGTGTACTGTGGACATCTCCTGTTTTCACACTAATTTCATAACTCGTGTGTTCGTCGCGTGCTAGAGTATGCTCTCCGTGTAAATATTGCTGGTGTGATAAACGATGTTGAGATGTATAATATACTGTAGCTTGGTAATTAAGACGCTTGCCTTGCAGTCTCTGGGTCCTGGCTTCAATTCCTGTGACAGTAGGATTATTTTCACGATTAAACAAATTTCCACTACCTAAGCACAAATGGGCCCTGAGGGAGAACAGTAGATCTCTAATGAGCCCAGTATAAATACAGTAAAATATAAAAAGGCGGTGCTGTGGTACTGACGATTTACAACCCGGGAGTTGGATGGGCGATAATGTTATCTAGTGAGTGCTGCCTTGATGTATGTTAAACCACTAGGTGCGTCCTGGTGTCTCATAAGTATAGCCTATAGCTTATTCATCGTTTGGTACCGTATCAGAATTGGTTTCTTATGGTTGGCACTAGGAAAGACAATACCATCTGACTTTTTAAACATCTCCTTGCTATGCTTACACCATTCCCGCTTAGAATAAACATTTTGTTGATTTTAAAAAAGAAGTCAAGGTTTACCTTTAAATGTCCTGTTCCACATTCGTTTAGTGATCTCTTCGCCATTCGTTGGCTCAAACCCTGCACTCAGGGTTTCGTTTAGGGCGATTGCGTACAGAACAACGGCATCGTGGAAAGCAACGACGAAACTGTTGACCTGTGAAGAAACGAAAATAAAAACACACCATCAATATAGAAGGACCAAAGGAATACATATTCAGATATGCTTCAAAGAAATAATACCGGTAGTTCATAAAGCAGTTTTTTCACAGGGCGATATAAAACGCGTTTAGGTCATTGAACCCCACGCCTTTTTCACTGCCAGTGTCGCTGTATTTTATTAAAATTAAAATTGGAATTGGAATTAAATAACTTCTGTAGCTAACGTTATAGTGATTAGTAGTTGCAACGTAACCAGTAACAGGATGAAAAAGTTTGGATGTTTATCCTAACATTCATACTATTGCATAATGTAAATCCAGTACGAATATATAAGCGGACCACCCGCCAAAACTACGTGAAGCAAGTGTAAAATTCTGAATAGCGCCATCTATCGTATTAATTTTTTAACTGCCTTACCAGGGTTCCCGCCTCCCTCCCAAGTCTAAAGAATTCTCTTCTGCAACTTAATTTTTTACTACAGTAGGCCTATATCCTAAAATATAGCATAATTACGGTACATTTAAGTTGTCGGTAAATATTATTTTAATATAGTGTTGTACACTAAATCATTTTTTTTTAATAATTGAAAATTTGAGGAACTATAATAGAAGACCACAAAAAGCAATAAAATACATTTGGCCAAATGAGATTCTCGTACGTTACACAACGACTATAATCCACTCACGATATATAAATTCACTAGTATAAGCAGTAGACTTTCAAAAATTGATTCGATTCATTTTACATTTTCTGGTCGAAGTGAAGTCTGAAAGCAATTAATTACACCTGTCTCACTGTTTTCAAATCAAACAAGAGGCGTATCACTTGGAAACGAGATACTAGAAGATGTCAAGTTTGTATATGAACACCACGTGATCACATTGTTGGTCAGATCAAGGGTCAATATTAAAAAAAGTAAACGGCTGTTTTAGACCAATGATTGACAGTTCCTCTGGTCCAGACATGTGAACACACATCCATTTGGGAATCATGCATATGCCTTAAACAATATTATTTCTGTGATTATAACAACAAATTTTATATCGTATGAACGATTGTGTTAGGAACGTCATCGCCATGAATCTGTAACCAGTTGAGTGGACAAGTGTTGCTGGTGTCAGGGGTGGATTTAGGTGGTGGCCGGGCTGGCCCCGATCCCTCTTGAAGTAAATAATAAAAAAGAGAAAAAAAAGAAAAGAAAGAAAAAAAAATGATCGCCCAAAACGCTTCCGAGGTTTTTTTTCGGGCGTCTAGAAAACAAAAAAAAAAAAAAAAAAAAAAAAGGGTGGGGGAATGTCCCCGACCCCATAGAGTGGTCTTATACGGTATCGATCGGCCCCACTTTCGGCCCCCTTTCGGACATTTCTGGATCCACCCCTGGGTGTTGTAACGACGGTGTCTATAGTATATAATTATTAGCAATAATTATAATAATTAACAACAACGATATTAATAATAAATCATTTCTTTTTATTAATAAAGATATTAACAATAACAATTACTAATAATTCATGTTTTATTATTAATGATATTAATAATAAAATAATGATAATAATAGTAATTATAAAAATGATAATATAACAGTGGCAACAGCAACTGTAACAATAATAATAAATTATTATAATAAAAACAATAGTAATAATAATAATAATATTGATAATTATACGCATTTTTCTAATATGGTATGTAATTACTGCAACTGCATTTTTCTCTACAGAATCGGACGTCCATAGAAGACCTAATATAAAAATTAATCTCACCAATCTGCTTACATCATTGTGTTGCCATGGCAAATATCTTGGCTTAGGTTCCTATCCCATAGCTTATCGTATGTGCCTACGTCTAGACCATCAGTTGGTATTTTACCGTACCCAGGAGTCTACTTTATTCCATTAAATAAATATTCTTTCGAAAGCTACGTGCATGTTTCACTGACATCGGGTATGAATAATGGTGAACTTTTGCATTATTTCTGAAGTTTACAATCAATATGTTGACGACATATGCTTGAAATGATCGGTAATTTTCCCAGTCATCGATACCCTAATGGGGTACCCACAGTATTGAATTATATCCAAGCTTTCCATTCATCAATATGTTAAAGACAAAACGCAACAAATGGTCGGTAAATTTGACAGCGGATACCCTATGGTGTGCCAGTACAGTTAATGAATTATCTCTAACGTTTCCATTCATCAATATGTTAACGACAAATGCTAAAAATGTCCGGTCATTTGCAAAGTCATGATTACCCTATGGGGTACCACAGCTATGTAATTATTTCCAATTTATCAATATAATGAAGACAAAATACTGAGAATGTTCGTTCACTTTCACTGCTCGCCCAAACTTACTGTATTTCCTGGGGACTCGCTTTGGCAATCAGATTTATTTACACCTGCTACCCACCCGATCAGACACAATAAGTTCCAAACAGGTCTTCTTGATTGGGCTTATTATAAGAATAATGATAAATAATAACTAGGCAGGCAGACATATCAGAAGAATTGTTTGTCCAATATATATTTACTCATTTTCTAAAACACTGCGAGTGTAATTGTATTGTTATAACAATCATTTAGTGGCAAATTAAGATTTTGAACAAATGCTATCTCGAAATAAAAAAATTAAAAAAAATGCTAGAAGATGCATAAAGAAGATACATTCCGTAAAGTTCCGATGGGACCGATTCGGTTAAATTAATCCTATACCGTACGTTCAGCAGAAAATTTAAATCTATACCTGATCGAAATGTACCGTAACTCTGCTGCTCTAACCACTCGTACAACATATTCTTACGAAATATAAGTCTAATCTAACGATCAGTGAGTGTGCAGCATTACGTAAAGATACAATGTCTACCAAACACATACCTTAAAAATTCAATCAAAATGTTGAATAGCTAATTTAAAAGGAACAAATAGGTTTATAAGTTCTAACCAGAAACAAATCTGAACAACAATTTTTACTGATTTAGAGACGTTTTTCTACAAAATTCCATAATCTGATTATTATAGCCAAATTAAAGGTCTAGGCCTACGCAAAAAAAGAATACAGGAAAGTTACTATCTAACTGACCGTTAGCTGACGGTGACAAAATTCAACATTTTAATTGTAAGTTAATAAATTACTTAAATATACAAATTAAGCAATCCAAATATGGAATTGATTTTTTTAAATTTTAGCTCATGACAGACAGCGCATCTTTAAGTTTTATTATAAAATCTATGCGCTTCCTGGTTATTGGATACAGAATCAATCATACGCAAGTGTGGAACCTCCTCCACTCCCTGGGGAGAATTCCAAGTCGTAGGCATGTAATTCAGCACGGCTTAGCTTCATTCGAAACCGTTCATATCCCATGATATATTTTATGGGCGATTCATTTATGAAGAGAGAAATACAATACACGTATTCAACTGCATTTTTTTTCTCCGTTGTTTATTATGATTTCCCTTAGAAGTTATGCGTTAATGATATCGTATTATTTTTTAATGCATTTTAAGTGTCTGTAGGCCTGTAATTCAAGTAATTTAGTGAATGTCAGGGTTTTCCTGCAGTTTTATTTACTATTAGCAACTCATTGGTTTTAGTAAATCTAGACTTTCATCTTAAGTACAAATGCATTTTAATACAAAATATTGTGTTTAATATGCAGTGGCGACGCCGCCATCTGAAATCTAGGAGGAGGGGGGTGAGGGCCAAGGTAACATTTTAGGGGAGAAATATGTTTTCCTATAGCAGACAGGAGATACAATTATAACTTATAAATGTGTTTGTTATTTTTATTTAAATGCTCACTATATTTATTTCAAATGTAAACAGTTTGTTAATTGCACTGTTTTTAGAGTGAGGTGGCATTGAAATGACAGACAGGTCGATCGGAGCAATTAATTTTGTTGGCCAAGTTTACAATGTTCATTTTCCCGGCAAAGACCGGGAGGTGGGGGGGGGGGAAAGAAAATTATCTCCCCTTTCCCCCAGATTTTCCCCGGAGTACTCTAGGCTGGATCAATAAACTTAAATGAACGCATGAATCAATTGAATGAATGGATGAGTAAATGAACGATTGGATTGATGGATAGAGAAATATAATGAATGGATAAACGAACCAAGAATAAACGAATGAAAGAAGTAAGGGATAGATTCACTTCCAAACAAATTTTCCTCATAAACCTATTGTATGTAGGCCTAAGACAAAAACCTTTTAACAGACACAAACCGGTGCTTGATAGTATTTGCACAGCGACCAGTTATATCTAACATTTACCTAAGGCCTCTCGTTGTCAAACACTCAAACATTCATTTAACTTTCATCCGATCTTACGGGAATTAGAGCAAATCGATAAGTAATATATATATAAAAAAAAGCGAGAAGAATGTATAGGCATAATTTGTAGGGTTTTAATAACTACGAGATAATAAGTTTATATTAGAAACTCGACACACAAAACTATAAAATGACTTATGTTGAGCGTTAGGGAGACCTGATGGTGCAACTGTATTCCCTTTCAAATTATGTTTATTTCCCACGTTACTTGGTCTAATTTTTTGTGAAAGAATAGAACTTCAATTTACATCGAACTAAAAACACAATTTTTTTAAAAACCTGATACACATGAAGCATTAATAAGCTGGATAAAGCACTGCTACAATATAGTTGGAATACCGTCTGTTAAAAACATAGCTATAGTAGAATAACTAGCGTGGAGGATTTAATCGCAAAGCTCCAATGTTGAGTCCCGTCTTTGGTGACGTCTAAAAGTTAAACGTGTTTAGGCCCGGCATAATGTGATTATGTTTCTGACGTGTTTAGAATTAAATGTGTATCATGATGTCAAAGCTAAGCACATTTAATTCAAAGGCAGCAAGATCCTAATCACATTAAGCATATATGTCAAAAAACACGCCTAGCTTTTAAACGTGTCGACAAAATTGCGTGGAGCTTTTCGTATAAATCATACACGCTGTTTTTATAGTGATGTCTGTTTGTAA